TCCTAGTTCCTTGGGCTCTGTGCCTTCCTTCCCGTTGACAATTTGCTTTCAGGAAAGACCTTGGTTCAAATCTCTGCTCTGTCCTTTCCCAGATAAGGGTCAGTGAGCCTTTCAGAGACTTGGGGCCTCTGTCACTGTTACTTGTGCCCACCGTGCCCCCAGCCCTTAGCCCCAGAGTCCTTGGCTTCCCCCCACCTTTCCCTCCCCTGTGGGGCTGTCCCCAGATCCACCCACTCTCCAGCTGCCAGTCTGTTCGGGCTCCCAGCCCACGAGGCACAAGTCAGTCACCAATCCCCAGGCATTTGTGGAGCACCTGCTGTGTCCCATGTGTGCCAGGTGGGTGGGCATGGGCGAGCCCCGCACCATGTGCTTCCCCTGCTACAGCTGTGTAGGGCTAGACCGGGGCGGGGGCTCCCTCCCGAGCTCTGCTCCACCTTGCCCAGGCCCGGGGGCCCCTCCGCTGGAAGGAGCTTGCTCCTAGCCAACTCTCAGCTACGAGCACTGGTTTTCTGAATTCAAAGATGCACACATTTTTCTTCCATTTCCAAAACTAATATGTGTCCTATACTTGGTGTGTTTCTTTGGTGGGGTGCCTTGTTGGTGGGAGCTCCTTCATGCTCCCCACTCTCTCAAAAGGTTATTTCACTCTTGCTGAAGCTCGCAATCGATGGCATTTCAGCCTCGAGGAAGTATGATAAGTGGATAGTGTAATCAGGGACATCTGGAGATAATTTTTTTTAACCAAAGGGAGTAACTCTAATGGGAAAAATTGTGGGTTGTCTATTGATGGGGGCATTTTGGGATGTAAGTGCTGTTCAGACGTCACTGATCATTGGCTTGTCACAGGCCCAGATATTCTACGCTGAGAATTCACTGCTCCCGTCTTAGAGACCGGTTAGAATAGCTATTCTCTGCTCCTTTCACAGACCCTAAATGACAGAGGATGGAGGAGAGCCCCGGGTCCCTGAATGGCTGTCCCCCAGCTTTAATTCCCTCCTGGGAAGGGATGCTAAGACTCAGAATCCTCTGGGGATGGAGGGAGAGGGACCCAAAATCCCAGAATGGAAGTCAAAGGGGCTTTGCAGGTAGAAACTGCCCGAAATATGGGACAAATGGACACTTTGGTTCCCCTTTCTCACTTTGGTTCATGGACAAATGAACAGGCCGGAAGAGCAGAGAGGGCACTTTCTCTTCCTTCCCAGGGCACCACCTAGAGGGTCCAGGTGGCAGGAGAGCACAGCCTCTTTGGGCTGGGGGGGGGGGGTCAGTGGGCCCTCTTCCTAATGGGCCTTCATGGAAATCTGAAGACTCCCCTCATAGAGTGGGCACACTGATGGCAGGATGCTGGGCAGCCTGGCCCACGCTGTCCCCACCAAGCCACAGCTTTCAAACCTGGAGCTCACCCAGTCCTTCCTGCCATTCCCGTTTCCTCTCAATTTCGAACCAGTCTGCCATCAACCAGTCTCAGGGCTACCAGTCTCTGGAGAGGCTGTCCCTCCCTCAAACCCTCTGACAGTCATCCAGCAGGTCTTCACTGAATGCCAGCTCCCAGATAGGTGCGTGGGGATCCAGAAACAGTAAGACACGAAGCTCAGCCAGTTGGGGGCGGCAAGTGTGAAGACACAGCTCAAGGTATCCCCTGCCAGGTGCCAAATGAGTGGTGCAGATAGGGCATTCTCCAGGAGCTCAGAGGAGGTGGTGGGCAGGGGTGGCATTTTGAGAAGAGCTAAGAGGTGACCTTTAAAGATGAGGAAGGCAGCCGGTGACATGTGAGCAAGGGCCCCTCAGTGGGGATGTGTGTGATGTGTCTGGAATTTTGGGTTGACCAGCCTTCTTCTCTTCTGATGGTCAGGCGTGACAACAGGTGGTGGAGTGAGGGAGAAGGGGAATCTAGTATCTGCTTGCTCCGGCCAGGCTCTGGGATTCAGCAAAGCCAGAATTCAATGGGCAGAGAGGCCCTACTTATCCAGAATATTGGTAGAAATTACCCATCTAGAAGATTCTTTCCTAGCTCATTTGAGGGCAGTCAGAAATTCTTCTTATTTTCATTTGGATTTATAAGTAGTTGTTTTTAAAAAACCTATCGATGATGTGCACATCATTTACAAAGTTGAAAAGCACCGAGACACAAGCTACAGGTGGTAATGTGTCCGCCCCTTGCCCTCCCCTACAGCCCAAAGCTCAACACATGCCCACCCGTCTTTGGGTATCTACTTCCCGAAATACATAAATTACTAAGTAACTTTCTAAATAATCTCTTATAATGCTGTTTGTTGATTTTTCCATTTTGACATAATATATTTTATTCTTAAGAGAGAAACGTCCTTTTCCATTCCAACATAGTTTAATGTTAGTTTTATTATTCATAGATAAATATTGTTCACTGCCAAAACAAGCAGTGCATAATAATTACACTTCCTTGCACAACTTTTTCTTTCCTTGGAGGTAATAACTACCCTTTATTTTACTTTATTTTATTCTTTGGCTGCCTTGGTTTTTGTTTTTGTTTTTTTTTGGCTGCCTTGATTTTTATGACATTTGTATAAATTCTTACCAAATTCTCCATCAAATTGCAAAATTCCTTCAAATACTATGCTTGGGTGGCTAAAATCTCTCAGTAATCCTATCATTTCCATCCCTGCCTCCAAGACACCCTCTTGGAGCACCCATCCTCCTGTTGTCCTCTGAAATGGTGTCTGGAGTCCCTGCCCAGCTTGGGAAAGCCCATGTCTTTCAAGTGCTTATCCCCTATTTTTTGCTCCTCTCTCTGGGTTTATGTCTGAGAAAGGGTGCCGAGAAGGTTGTTTGTTTTGAGACCCTGCATGTTTGAAATGTCTTTATTCTATTCTCAGACTAGATCAATCAATAGTTCGGCTGGGCATGAGGTCCTCGATTGAAATCTTCTTTCCCCTCAGTACCTTGAAGGCAGTTGCTCTACTGTGTTCATGCTCTTGAAAAATCTCATGCTGTTTGTCCTCCTGACTCTTTGTGTGGCCCCTGTTTGCTTTCTCTCTGCAAAGTGTGAGAATCATCTTTGCTCCTACAGTTTGGACACTTCACAGATTCCTCAGTGTGGAGTTCTTCTCCCATCTATTTTGCTGCACACTCAGAGAGTCTTTTCTATCCAGAAACTCAGATCATCAGTTTTAGGAAATATTTTTTTGCAATATTTTTCATAATCTCTTCCCCATTGTTTCCTCCATCTTTTCTCTCTCACTAGTCACGTATGGAAACCTCCAACCCATCCTTCTGTATTTATATCGGTTTTCTCCTATTTCCCATCTCTTGGTTTTCTTGTTCTGCTTCCTGGGAAATTTCCCCAGCTTTATCTTCTATTCTTCTGTTTTTAATTTACAACAGCTCTCTTTCTTGTTTTCTCATAGTTCCTTTTAAAAAAGCTTCTTGTTTCATGGATCCAATATTTTATTTCTCAGAGAATATTCATCATAGTGTTTTGAAGTTTATTTTTTTCCTGGTCCGTGTGTTACCTGTGTTCCTTTGAGTTCTTTTTCTTTTCTTCTTTTTAAAATTTGATATATTCTCTCTGTTTTCATCCAGGAGTCTTCCTCAGAGACTGGTTACCCTTGGGCTTATCTGTTCATAGTGATGAGTAGGTCACTAAAGCTGTCTGGAAATCGTGCATAAGTGTGTGTGTGTGTGTGTGTGTGTGTGTACTTTTTAAATTTATGGGCTTCATTAGAGTGGCCAATGGGGGAACCCAACCATTTTACTAGAGCACTCCCAACCAGAAGTATCTATAGAGCGCTTTCTGGGATCAGTTTCCAGTGTGCTAGGTGACAGTGCTTTCAGAACCAAGTGGCAGAAAGGGGTGCCCCTGTTTGAACATGCTGCTGCACACCTGCCCTCCTCTATTGGAGCCTGTCTGGCCCAGTTTCTCTACAAAATGTCAGGGTGAAGGGGGGGCGGGGTAGGTAGTCCGTGCCTCCATGGGAAAGGGGAGAAGCCCCAGACAGAACAGGTCCTCATACAGACTTATAATGGGTAGCCCTCTCTCCTGCCTTCCAAAGTAGCCAGCACCTCCAATTCCTGTCCTTTCCAGCATAGGTGGAAAGATCTGTCCACTTCTTGTTGACCACCCCTTCGGTAGGTGCTCAGTTTCCGGTTTCTCAGTTCTGCTAATTCCTCCATCTGCTTTCCATCTTCCAAAAATCTGCTGACATCTGTTGCCTGCGCGTGTCACTTCTACTGTTCTCTCCGTCCTTATCTATTTATCTTGTTATGCCTTTGCTCTCATTTCAGTGGGGTCTGGAAAGAGCAGATATGTATTGAACCTGCCATGTCTGGCAGGAAGCCCCTGGAAACGTTTCTGAAGTGCCAAGTCCTTTCTCTCTCTTGTCTTAGTAAAGGACCCCCATGGTGAAAGCTGGATCATTCCCCATGGAGAATTTACAAGGCTTTCTTGTCATCAAGGTCAATAGGAGACTTAGATGAAACATATTCTGAACCCAGCTCATTCCCAGAAGTGCATGCTTTTAAAGTAATCATAACATCGTGACAAAATATTTCATTTTTATTTAAATAAAAGTGACTTTTTGGATTCTCCTTGTTCACAAACTACATGGGAAACAATGCCTGCTTGTTTTGTCTCTGGAAATCAGGGCTCCCTATGGGCTGGGTCCTTGGCTAGGCTGGACTCTGTTTTCTGCAGGTGGCATCTCCTAAAAGGGGCAGTAGGGCCAATGAAGTTGCATGGGAGGAGTCTAATTTAGGAAACCCCAACTGCCTTCAGGGGCCTTACAACGCCTTTAACAAGTATGTTCATTTTTCCGCTCGCTGCGCAGAATAATCCCCCCCCCCCCCCCCCCGCCGCACAGAGCCTCCACCTGCGCTGGTTCAGGATGGCCACGTGGATCTCAAAGCAGTGACATCGCTGTGCTCCGGTGAAGGCCCCCAGTGTTGCCAGCGGCGGGGCGTCCCCTCGGCAGGGGAGGGGCGCAGGGCGGGTCCTCACGGAGTCTTCTCTGTCCTTGCCTCTCCAGGTGCCCCCTTTCAAAGGTCTCAGCATCCTCACGCTACCTCCTGCCGCCACTTCCACCTGGGCCCCCCGCAGCCGCAGCAGCTGGCGCCCGACTTCCCCCTGGCTCACCCCGTGCAGTCGCAGCCGGGCCTCAGCCCCCACATGGCCCCGGCCCACCAGCACAGCGGCACCCTGCACCAGTCGCTGACTCCGCTGCCCACCCTGCAGTTCCAGGACGTCACAGGTCCCTCCTTCCTACCTCAGGCCCTGCACCAGCAATACCTCCTGCAGCAGCAGCTCCTGGAAGCGCAGCACCGCAGGCTCGTCTCGCACCCGAGGTGGGCGGGGCCGGGGCGGGGCCTCGGGCGGGTCACCTGGGGGTTCCCGGCGTGGGGAGGCAGCTTTTGCTCCAGTTAGAGGTGTTCCTTTCGGGCAGTGAGCGCCACCTGGACCCGACGCGGGTTTCCTGGGTAGCCAGTGTGTGTCCTTGTCACATCACCCAGGTGTAGGGATTGGGGCCGAGTACCTGGCGGTTTATAGTGCTCAAGGTGTGGGAGATGGGATCCCTCATGTTCCCTGCAGCTTCATGATCATCTGGTTCTAACACCTAAGTTCCCTAAGCAACCCCAAAGGACACAGCTGCTTCCGTCCTCCTGTCAGAAAGCCCATGGTCTGTTTGGGGGGACCAGCTAAGAAACCAATGGAGAGTAAAATTAGACAATACTAGGTCTGAAATAGCTGTGGGACCCTGGGCAAGTCACATCACCTCTCTGAGCCTCAACTGTCAAGAGAATGAGATTACATCAGTAGTTCTCAAACATTTTTGTTTTAGGACCCTTCACCCTCTTAAAAATTACTGAGGATTACACAAGCTTCTGTTTATGTGGTTTACAACTATTGACACCTACTATCTTGGAAATTAGAACTAAGAGATTTAAAAATATGTATTAATTTGTTTAAAAATGCAATAACAAACTCATATGTTAACACCAATAGTATCTTTTTTGAAAAGGAGCTATATAGACAGGTAATGAGAGGAGGGGATTTTTTTTTAAAAACATATTTGTAATCTCTTTAATGTTTGGCTTAATAGAAGACAGCTGTGTTCTCATGTCTGCTGTATTCATTCTACTGCAGAATCGCATGCAGTTTCTAGAAAGCTTCACCATTCACTTGTGAGAGAATGAGAGGAAAAAAGCAAATAACATCCGAGTGTTATTATGAAAATAAATTTGACCTAATGAACCCCATGAAGGAGTCTCAAGGACTCTAAGGCTCTAAGTATCCATGACCGCAGGGGTTTGGGTGCTGGGGGCAAAGGTGAATGTTGCAGCAGGTAGGAGGGAGGAGAGGTCACCATGCCTGGAGTGTGTAGGGAGGTCTTCCCGCAGGTGGTGGCTTTCCCTGGGGCGGTGAAAGCTGGGAAGAGTGTGGAGAAGGTTGGAGGAGAGAGGGGCGTGGCAGGAGCTGAGGGGTGCACAGGTGTGGGAAAGCCTACAGGAGGCACATCTATGTGTATTGGAGACAGCCCACCCCAAATTCAGAGGGAGGAAGTAGGAGAAGGAGCAGAGGAGGCCAGAGAGTTTGGGTGGGACAAGTGGCTGGCTGTAGACACACGGAGGGAAAGGCCATGGTGTATGTAGGGGGCAGTCCCCAGACAGTAGGAATATTTGAGTTATCAGTCGCTGCTGGCTAGGAACGTCCTTGGACTTTGGGAAGAGGGACAAAGGCCACTGCTCTGTAGGCTGTAGGCTCAGGCTCATGGGAGCTGCGCTGGCCCTGGGCAGCCCTGACACCTCCTTCCCGTGCAGGCGGAGTCAGGAGCGTGTGTCTGTCCATCCACACCGCCTCCACCCCAGCTTCGACTTCGGCCACCAACTCCAGACGCCTCAGCCCAGGTATTTGGCTGAGGGCACTGACTGGTGAGTCCTTGGGGTCCCTAAGCAAGGAAGGGGGGGTGGGAGGAGGGTCTTGCCTGATCCATGAAGTTACTGTTTCCTTCACTTTGAATGGTGCAGAAGGCCTAGCCCTAAAGCTCCAGCCTTTGCTTGTGCCCCCAGACACCCTCAAAGCTTAAGGGCCCCCACTGGGCCTGGTTTCAGCAATTAGCTCAGGATGCCGCTGGATAGCATCATGTGCCCAGCTTGGGGCTCTGTGCTCATGGTCCTGCAGGGGAGGAGGGGAAAGAGATACAAAACATTGCCCAAGGTCAATGAGGGCTGGAAACCAGTGGTTTCTGGGAGGCAGGCAGAAAGGACAGTCTCAGGAGCGAGCTAGTCAAGGAAACCTTCTTGGAGGGGGTGGACCTTGAGGAATCTTACAGAGAAGAGCCAGGGCAAGCCAGCAAGACCAAACATAGGCTCATGGAGGCAGAGCCAGCAGGGTTGGAGGTAAGGAGTGGGGATAGAAGCTGGGGAAAGAGGTTGAGGGCTTTGCCATGGTATCAGGAGCCAGGTCCCTGAGAGGTCTTCTATAATCTCTTGAACTTGAAACAGAGGTCTTTATGGCTCTGGGATGCCATGTTGCTTGATTTTGGGTCCTCCGTCCCCCTGGACTTTGGATCTAGCTCAGGACTTGGCCGACATAAACTTGGGTGCCCTCCAAACAGCCCAACACTTGATAAAGATGTACAGTTCACTAGGCATTTAGGTTTAGAGGGCATCGTGCCTGAGGCTTATTTTTAAATACTTCAGGAAAAAAAACCCCACAGAGAAGTGTGTGTGTGTAGATGTGTGTACGTATGCGGGAGAGAGAGGGAGGAGGAGCTGAAAATGCAGCAAAATAGTAAACCATTAACAAATGGGGAGCCTGGGGGAAGGGTATCCGGGAAGTCCTAGTGCTGCTCTGGCAACTTTGAGGTCAAAAATGGTGTTGTTGTTTTAAAGAATGTAAAAACAAACAAAACACTTTTATGGAGAAGGATGGACTTTTTTTTTTTTTTTTTTAAGAAAGCCAGACGTGTACTATGTCATTTTTCAGCCCTCTGTCACGCAAATGAGACATCCAGGAATGGTGCAAAAGCTGGAGGGTTCAGCTGATTGCATGTGAAAGGTGCTTCCAGAGGCAGGAAATAGTTGTTCTAAGTGGTCCCGTGTCCACCAGCCCTCTGCTGGCTCTGGGGGACGCTCTGTTAAATTGAATACTTCCTCAAAAGAATAGGCTACACTGCAGCAGCCAACTTTTCAGCCCAGGCTTTTTCTAATTAGCAGATTCAAATCAGGAAGATATAATTGCAGTTTGGATTGAATTCTGTCCCTCAGCAGTCAAGTCTGTCCAATTTAATTCAATTCAGCACACACCGGGTGATTTGAATAAACACATGGGAGCCAGCATGGCAAGTGGGGCCAGGGGAGGTGACATGGGTGAGTGGTGAGCATCGTCCTGGACAGGTGTCAGGAGCAGTGCAGGTGTGAGCCCTGCCAGCTTGCTTGCCTTCGCCAGATCTCCAGTCCTGCTCCTGCGCTTCTCTCACTCTGCCCCCCTGACCTCTGTTGGCCTGAGAAACACAAAGACTGGGGCCCTGTGAGGCATCAGCAGGAGTCGAGGGGAGGCCCCTACCCTGGGTCACACCTGGGTCCACCCTGGGCTTTTTCTGCCTGGCCTGTTCCCCTTACTTTAGGAGGTTTGAACCCTACGCAGGCAGCTTCTCTTAGCTGGGCATCCTGGCCTGGGTGGAGTGTGTGGGAGCAGCAGGTCTTGGGGGATCAATCCCAAATATGGCCCCTTTTTTGACTCATCCCTGATAACTCGACCCTGACCTTGAACTCCAATGTCTCTGTCGTCATCATGCTCCTTCTCTGACTCAGTCCTGGCTTCATACTTCCAGCTGTGCCGCCCATGTCTGACTGAGCCCTGCTCCACCACCCAGTCCTAGCCCTGGCCAGGCACAGCCCCACCCCACCCCACCCCCACCCCCCACCCCCCAGGACACCTGGGACCTGTGAAAGAGTGGATGGAGGACAAAGGCCTCCTGCTAGCCTTCTCCTGCAGGCAGCTCTGCCTCTGCAAAGCCTCCAGATGCACCTGTGAGACGGTGCTGGTCCTGAAGCTCCCCAGGAAGAATATAAGGGTCTTTGTAGCAACCAGACCACAGCCTGCTTCAAGGCCATTGATAGTGAGTGGGAGAGAAAGTTTAGCTTGATATTTAGACACAACTGACAAACACTGTGCATTGAGACAATGGCCACAGGACATCTCCAGGACACCATTCTGGGCTAGCCTGGTGGCCTCAGGGCTGTAAGGTACTATGACCCTTTCCAAACGTGGCCGGGTTCTCCCAGTCTGGAGCAACAGCGAAAGGTGGGAGACACTGCTTCTCCAGGGGCTGATGTGTCCTCAGGGCAAGTCCCAGCCCAGGGTCTTTCAGGTCCAAGGATCATCCCCTGCTCAGGGGTCCTGGGTTTTGGAAGGAATTCTCCAGTGAGATGCTAAAGGGGGAATCCCGGAGCCCACCTAGGGCCGACCTGGACAGGTGATCCCACTCATCCGAGGGTCAAGGTAGCATTGTTCCTCCAGTTAGTGTTTTCGTAATCAGGGTGACTCTGTTACACGTTCCTTGGGACTTTGCTTTCCGTAGAATTCCCTGAGTATCTATTTGCTGCTTTGAATTTGATGGGACCCCTGAGGCTGCTGGGTAAATGCTAAGAGTCAGAGCATCTGTCACAGGGGGGTGCCCCATGGAACACCTTTCCCTGAGGTGGGTCAACAGAATGAGCCCAGGCAAGGCTTGGAACTCAGCCCAGGGGGCAGGGGAGGGGTCCTCACTAGCTAGCTTGGGCCACTCTTCCAGCCTCAGCAGGATCTGGGGGGAATCCCAGAGGCTGGATGGCTGGATTTCTAAGTTTGCTTCTAGTCAGATCCAAGAGGATATAGCTCATTTCCCAAATGACAGGCTCGTGAAGACTTATTCCAGGGATTTGGGCTAATATATTCAGGAAATACAGGAGTATATGCACATCGTTTTACACTCACACACACACGCACAAACACACACACACACCACATCTGGACCAGATATTCCTTAAATGCTCCCCATATCTTTTTTATCTTAGTCTGGATGTATTTGTTGAAGAAATTTGAGCCTCTTTTTCTATGGAATTTCCCCCTCTCTGCATTTTGCTGCTTGCACTCTGGCGTACCTCACAGCTTCCCTCAGTTTTTCTCCATTCCCTGTGCACTAGCACGTAGGTCAAGGGTTGAGCAGATTCACATCCAACCCTTACTATATCTTGGCAGAAACACTTCATAGGGGGTGCATTCTCCTGGCAGAAAGCCGGTTGTCCATCCTTCTGTGATGTGAGCCGCAATTGGTGATCTTTGCCAGAAGCTTTTATCCTTTTGGGGATGCAGAGAGGTGACAAGTAACTCCACCGTTCCTCACTTGTTAGCTAGAAAGTTTTTCTTTTCTTCTTTATTTTTTTAAGAGTTTATTTATTTATTCATGAGACACACACACACACACACACACACAGAGGCAGAGACACAGGCAGAGGGAGAAGCAGGCTCCATGCAGGGAGCCCGATGTGGGACTCGATCCCGGGTCCCCAGGATCACGTCCTAGGCCGAAGACGGCCCCAAACCGCTGGGCCACCGGGGCTGCCCAGCTAGAAAGTTTTCTTAAGGAGAAATTTCCCTTCATCATTTGGCAACCCTCGTACAGTTAACAGAGGAAAGGCAGGATATCCCTTTCTTTACTAGTTTTCAGGATGAAGTATCAGTTCCCCACCATCCTTCAAATGTACTGATTTTCTTTTCTTCAGGGAGGGGAAGTTATTACTTTTTTTAAAAATATTTTATTTAAATTCAATTTGCCAACATATAATATTACACCCAGTGCTCATCCCATCACGTGCCCTCCTCAGTGCCCGTCACCCAGTACCCCCGTCCCCCCACCCACCTCCCCTTCCTCAGCCCTTTGTTTGTTTCCCAGAGTTAGGAGTCTCTCCTGGTTTGTCTTTCTCCCTAATTTGTTTGTCCCCACTCAGTTTCCCTCCTGTCCCTTGTGGGACCGGTTTCCTTTAACGTTGTTTCCCTCTCACGGATCTGAACCTGTTCTATGAGTTTCCATCTGCTGTAATTATGCTCTCTGACATGCCCCTTGTCCAAACTCTGACCAGTGGGAACTCCTTCAGGATGGTTCCCGAATCCTTTTGCCATGACCTTGATAACTTCCTCCCTTTCAGTTAGGACAAGAGGCTTCAAATCATTTTGCACATTTTCTGCCCCAGGCCTGAAATTAGCCATTTCCCAAGGAGCCCTGCTTCCTCTTCAGTTGCAATGACTGGTTAATTTGTACATGAAATGAATTTTCCTGTACTTGTTGGGGTGGGGGGCAGGGTCCCTCTTCTGGGGTTTTCCCACGGTGGCACAAATATGAACTCTGCCCCTCCACCTCCACCTGACATATCTCCCCTTTGCTCTGCATCCCTGACTGGCTCTACTTGGATTCTTTCAGCGTTTCTCTCAGGAATGGGCTTTGTCTTGGGAGGGAGCCTTGGTGCACTAATTTTATGATGTTTTATGAGGCGTAGGCAGTTCCGGACCCCTCAGGCCTGACAGGCACCTTTCCTCCCTGAGTCTCTGCTTTCTTCACTAGGAAGAAGGGGGAAGGGGGAAGCTGAGTCCCTTGCAGCTTTGGGGCCATGTGACTCTGATTCTCGTCCCTGGGCCAGAAGTCAGAGGTCCCTCTTGTAACCAGATGGCTGGACCACAGCACCCTGGGGCTCACTGTGGCCATGTCCCCGCAGGGATCTCAGTGTGGACGCCGGCTTGAGTCCTGCCCAGTTCCAGGTACGGCCCATCCCTCAGCACTATCAGCATTACCTAGCGACTCCTCGAATGCACCACTTCCCCAGAAACTCCTCCTCCACGCAGATGGTGAGTGCAATGGCCCTGCCAGGAAGCGGACGCCCTGGCTGCCTGCCTGTTGGGTGCCAATGGTGGGCTAAAGCCAGCGGCTCTGTTCCCCTGTGTCCTGCTGTCATGCTATCATCCCCCCCCCCGCCCCCTGCCGCCACTGTCTCCTCACACTCCTGTTCCTGCTCTGGTTTGAAAGCATCTGCCGAACTAAAGTCAGTGCTATGAGCAGGACCGAGGTGGGCACTGGAGGAGGGAAAGGAGGGCCTGGCGGGCTGTGGTCTGTGGGGAAGAGGCTCAAGGCTCAGAAGAAGCAGGGTGATCCCTCATTGTCACCTCACTTAGTTAATTTCTTGGGGTCAGCACCTCCCTGGGCTTTGATTTTACTTATCCATGAAATGGGATGAAGATGCCCACCTTGTCCTTCTCACAGGGCTGGCGTCCTTCTCACAGGGGACAAAGGAGCCCCCAGAGGTGGCCCTGGGGCCTGACCTGCTGATCCAGTTCTGCTCTCTGCAGGGGGCTGGTCCTTGTCACTGCAGGTCGCTTGGATTGCAGAAGGGGGCAGGTTGGCTCCCTGGCATTGCAAGCTACGTGGAGCAAAGGTGAAGACACGCCATTGAAGCAGCAAAGGACCAATTGCAAAATCTTGTCTCCAGACAGTTTGTGGGTGTTGCTGCCCCTACAGTGCACTTCCCCCCTTCCAGCCCTTGTCTCTGCCATTAGCCATCCCGTTCCTCAGTCTCCTTTTTTTGTACAATGAGAGGTTTAGATGAGTAATCTCTGAAGACCTGGTCAGCTCTAAGGGTCTATGGTTGGTGTTATGAAGCACCGTCTTTTTAAGAAAAAGCTAACATTTATTGAGCACTTAATGCATGGCAGGCACTGTCCTAAGTACTTCACACGAATTTCCCCACAACCTTACACAAAACAGGGTATTACCCTTGTTTTACAGATGGGCAAACTGAGGCGTAGAGAGGTGAAGTAACAGGTGCTATGCAGTAAGTAGGTGGAGGAGCTATGATGGAAATCCGGTCCCTCTGACCCAAAGCCAGGGCTAAGGCAAGATCAGTGGGGCAGGGCCATGCCAGTACAGAGTCAGAACCAGTCTTCATTTAAAATCTGGATATTTTGTTCATTATGGACTTTTCGCATTAATTTTGATTTTTAAAACAAATACTGTATTAAAACATTACCTATCTCAATTATTGGGTCTATTATGCTAAAATATTATTTACCTTGATTACAGAGTCATTGGTGCTTAGATTTTGTGCTCTCACTTGCCCCTCCTAGACAGAATCCGGCCCACACTCTACTGTCTGAGGCACCGTCTGAGACAGTACAGAGCAGAAAGGAAGGAAGTGGCCTGAGGTCACTCAACTGCCTGGGTTTGAGGTCGTGGTTTTACCACTTGGTTGCATAATTCAGGTCCTTACTTGATCTACTTGTATCTCATTTCCCCTACCAGTGAAATGGGGCTAGTAATTGTACCCACATTCGAGATCAGATGAGATCATTCAATTAGTTAATCGTGTGATGTGCCCAGACTGTGCCTGCCTTGAAATAAATGCCCAATCAGCTTAGTCATCTTACTAATTATATAAGGACGTAGTATATGTATTTACTAATTTATATTTAATTTATATTTATTGATTTTGCTATTTTTGGGGGGGCTAGTCTGGCACAGGCTTGGTTCTGGATGAGGACGGGGGATGTAGGAGCAGGAAAGATAGCACTTCTGCCTGAAGAATCTCGGGGGATGTACAGATTGGCGGTTATGGGGGAGGAGCTGGATGCTGGGCTCATGCAGCCTGGAATCCTATCTGAGGCATTTTCTCCCCAACAGGTCGTCCATGAAATCCGAAACTACCCATACCCTCAGCTTCACTTCCTTGCTCTCCAGGGACTGAACCCCAGCAGACACACCTCTGCAGTGCGGGAGAGCTACGAGGTACGCCTTGCCCCTCTGTCCAGCTCCAGCTGGTGGAGACACAGTTATTGTACATCGTCCCTTCTCCCTTTCTCCTGCTGGTGGGTAGGGCAGATGAGGTTGTGGGGAGCTTCAGGGTTGAGAGTAAGAGAGAGAAAAGGAGAGAGCGAGTAAAAATGTTGGGGTCTTTCAGTACCAGAGAAGTTCTTCCTGATGGCTATGTGAATGCTTCCTGCTAACCGTCTCTCAGTGTCCCTCCCCCTCATCCTGTGTGTGCATGTGTGTGTATGTGTGTGTGTATGAGTGGTTTGCATGTAGAGTGCACATGTTCACATTTTTCTCTTTGCAGGAGCTGCTGCAGCTTGAGGACAGATTGGGAAATGTGACTCGGGGAGCTGTACAGAACACCATTGAGAGATTCACCTTCCCCCACAAATACAAGAAGGTGAGTCTGCTAGCAGTTCAGCCTGTGTAGTTGAGGGGTTGTGGTTTAGATGCTCTGAAGCTGTGCTGCTTTCCCACAGTCTTATCCCTTGTCTCTGTCAGGTGTGACCAGGAGGGGAGATGGGAGTGCCTCTCATCACAAAAGAGGAGGGCTGGGTGTGAGTGTACACATGGGCTGGTGAGTGGGTAGTGTTCGGTAGGTGTACAGGTATGCGAATGCTCCTATCCGAAGGAGGTGGGCAAAGGGAGCACCTGCCATGAAGACTAAGATATACCTTAGAAAAGAATTTCAAGTCCAATCCTGTGTGTGGACAAATGGAGAACTAAGGCAAGGGTTTTCAATCCTCACTGAGCATCAAGATCACGTGGGGAGCTTTTAAAGCCATACGCTCAGGGCTCCACCCTAGGCCTATAGAGGTAGACTCTCCAGGGTTGTTGCTCAGTAAGGTGGAGTAGGCTTAGAACCCAGGAATCTGATTTTTAAAACATTTTAAGATTCAAATAAATAAAAAATTTGCAAGCGACCAAGATGTCCTTGAATAAGTGAGTAGCTAAACAAACAGTGTTACATCCATACAATGGAATATTATTCCAATATTTTCTTAAATAGGCTATTAAGCCATGGAAAGACATGAGGGAACCTTAAATGCATGTTACCTAAGAGAAAGAAGTCAACCTGAGAAGGCTGCATACTGTATGATTCCAACTATATAGCATTCTGGAAAAGGTAAAACTAGACAGTTAAAAGATCCCTTGTTGCCAGGGGCTTTGGGGGAGGTATAGATGAGTGAATGGGGAGATCACAGGGTATTTTTAGTGGAACTGTTGAATGCCACTGTAATGGTGGACACATGACATTGTACATTTGTCAAAACCTATAGGACACTACAACACAAGGAATGAACCCTAATGTAAACTAAAGTTCTTCAGTTAATAACAGTATATCACTATTGGTCATCAATTGTAACAAATGGATCTCACTAACACAAGATGTTAATAACAGGTCAAACTGTGTGTGTGTGTGTGTGTGTGTGTGTGTGTGTGTGTTGAGAGGGGGGAGGGATATGAGAATGGGCTGTATTTTCTGCTCAAGTATAATGTAAACTAAAATTGCTCTGCAAAATAAATTCTGCTATGTACACAATTTTTCTTTTAATTTAAGAATTAAAAGCTTGACAAGTGCTGAGAAACTTGGAGTGAGAAATGCTCAAGCCAGAGCCCATCTTCACTGCCTCATGAGGCAATGGGGCACAATGGTTGTGATCACTAGGTGTTGGAGTCAGGGCTAGTTTTTAATTTCAGTCTTACTACTGTCTTTGTTTGGGCTGCCATAACAAAATACCATTAGCTGGGTGGATTAAACTGCAGACATTTATTTCTCACAGTTCTCAAGGCTGAGAAGTCCAAGATCGGGGCACTGGCAGATTTAGTTCTTGGTGAGAGCTCTCTTTCTGATTTACAGAGGGCTCCATTCTTGCCGTGTCTTCACATGGCAGAGAGAGGAAGCTCTGGTGTCTTTTCCTCTTTTTACAGGGGCACTCATCATATGGGCTCTGACCTCATCTAAATCTAATTAGCTACCAGAGGCCCCATCGCCTGATACCATCACATTGGGGGTTAGGGGATTAACATATGAATTTGGGAGTGGGAAGCACAGACATTCAGTCCATAACCACCACTGATAGCATTGTAGCTCTGGACAATTTACTTGGCTTTTCTGAACCCTCCTCTGCCCTTTTTAATGGAAAATAGGAATGATGTGTTAGTAGCAACCATAAGGGGTGCTCCAGGGATTCAGAGGGACAATGCATATACAGTTTAGCACAGTGCCTCGTATCTGGTGAGTGGTCAGGAATGGTGAACCGCTCTCACCTTGAAATAGGGCTCACTTATTTTACAATAGTGATGATAAAAGAATAAAAAATCTAAAAGAAATATAGTCACGTAGATAAATACAAAAAATAAGAATTAGGCAAAGATATGAAAACAACAGACAAAATGAAAACCAATAACAATGACGTGAAAGGAAATGTGAAGGACAAAAAGGTACAGGCGGAAGAGGTTAAAATAAATATGAAATAAATGCTGAGAAGAGTCACTGTTAAAATAAAAGTTACACAGATAATGAGAAGACAAAACCCAGAAGACCTAAAAGATTAAAAATACAAAAGAGGAAATAGTATAATATTTGAAAAGATACAATAATTGGGGCACCTGGGTGGCTCAGTGGTTGAGCATCTGCCTTTGGCTCCTGTTATAATCCCGGGGTCCCAGGATCAAGTCTCACATCAGGTTCCCCGCAGGGAGCCTGCTTCTCCCTCTGCCTATATCTCTGCGTCTCTCTGTCTCTCATGAATAAATGAATAAAAATCTTTAAAAAAAAGAAAAAAGAAATAAAAAAAAAAGAAAAGAGACAATTATTTAAGAAATATAGATGAGACGCACCTGGGTGGCACAGTTGGTTAAGCATCTGACTCTTGGTTTTGGCTCAGGTTGTGACCTCAGGGTTTTAAGATGGAGCCCTGAGTTGGGTTCTCTGCTCAGCATGGTGTCTGCTTAAGACTCTCTCCCTCTGCCCCTCCCCCCTGCATTCACTCTCTCTCTCAAATAAATAAATTTTTAAACAAAGAAATACAGAGTAGTCATAGTGAAACAAGGTAAGACTATTCAGTTGAAATCATTAACTATACAAGGGAAATAATGAATAATGGTGGGAAAAAAACAATAGAAAATAGGCAAATAGTGAATCTTATTAGTATCTTTTATAGAACATCCCTTTTCTTGAAGGACCAATTGAAGAAAGGCCACTCCTCCCAGAAACACAGCTGGGCTGTTAGACGTTCATGACTCCATTTATACTCAAAAGCCATGATGATTATATGAGGCTATGGATGTAATTCTGATTTTCTGGTTTCTAGACAAGGGAACACTTACTGCGGTGGAGATCAGATCACATGGTTTGCAACTGGAGTGTATAGGGCTCACAGAAGCTGAGAGCAGAGTATCAGTTTTCTTCTATGTTCCAGTGAGGCTACAGTTCTCTAGAGATCACATCAGACTAAGGAACCCCAGAGCTCAGTGCCAGGGACTGAAGTGGGGGAACCTAGCGTCTAGGCCTGGCCCCAAGGTCATAATCATTCTGTGGGTGTTTTTTTGTTTGTTCGCTTGTTTTTAAATCTTGTGACTCTTTAGATTTTTCTCTTGGCAAAATGACCTCAAGTCTGCTTCTCTCTGGAGTGGGGACTGAAGGGTTAGTTTTCTGCCCATGGATATTATCAGGTTTTTTTACTGCACAGCATGGAGATGGGAACAAGAAAGATGGGCTGATCTCATTCACTGATTAGATTTCTTCCTCCCTAGAATATTTTTTAAGCACAGATGATGTACCTTCTGCTTGGCCAAGTGTGGAACAGTACCCAAGGAAGGGTGAGCCATGGTCCACACCGTCTAAGAACTTGGAACTTTCTAAATAGCAGTTAACTATTTTCAAATAATTAGCATAGGATTTAAAAGAGTTCAACTAAAGTCAACAAGTATAAACAGAGGCTGCATGATGTCCAAACTCATGTTGGAGCCAGTGCCTATCTTAAAGGACTTTGCTGGATGGGAAGAGATCTAACAATATATAAAATTACAGTATGATACAAATTATAGGAGTTGAGGAATTTTTCCTTCATCTAGTAATGAATGAATAAATGAGTAGACCTTAGTTGAATAAAAGGGAGAAAGGAAGGAGGGAAGGAAGAAAGAAAGGATGGACGAATGGAAGGGTAGACAGGTAGATGGATAGAAGGTTGGGTGGTTGGAGGCGGAGTGGGTAAATGGTTGAGTGGGTGAGTGGATGGATGGGTGGTTGGGTGGATGTATATGGATGGATGGATGGATGGATGGATGAATGGATGGATGCAATGGTAGATGGGTGGATGGGTGAGACACTGGGTGGATGGAGGGTGAGTGAGTGGATAGGTGGGTGGATGAGTAAATGGGTAAGTGGATGGATGGATGAAACATGCTGGACCTGAATATGGAGGGAGAAGCCTGGAGGCAGGGATCTAGGTTGGAAAGGATGTGAGGAGGAATGGACAATATGAGAGAAATCAGAAGGGGAAGCCATTTATGCACAAGCCATAGTTTTGCTATAGCTCGATTCATTAAGCACCTGGTTCCTTTCCGAACTTTATGTCGTATGTCTGCCAGGATACCACAGCTGTATCCTGAGTCAAGGAGGAAGAGTTGAGGAGGAGGCTGGGAGAAGGATCTGGGGTGACCACCCAAGTCTGGGGATTCCTGAAGAACTTAGAAGGATACTGCCTCACAGATAAGGGAGGGGGAGTCTATGGTTGAAAGACAGCGGTCACCAGGTGAGTGCTCCAGGTAACTAATGCTCCTCCTCCACTTCTCATAGCGAAGACCCCAGGATGGCAAGGGCAAGAAGGAAGAGGGGGAGGAGTCGGACACAGATGAGAAATGCACAATTTGTCTATCTATGCTGGAAGACGGAGAAGATGTGAGGTAGGAGACCAACCTCTGGTCCCTCTCTCTCCCCCTCCACCATCCCCAGCCGCCCCTGCAGGTATTAGTGACCACTCACATGCTGTATGTCAGGGGTACGGTGCTTGTTCTCTTGTGTGTGTATGTGCTAAGTGTGCCATCGTGTGCTATGTGGTGGTTCTAGGAAAGTGGGGGGTGGAATGTTCTAGATGTGCGATGCTTATTGGTTTGGACTAGTGGACACAAAGCATAAGAGAACACAGTGCTATTTGGCCTGGGTGGGTGTAAGACAAAGTCATGGCTTTGTTTCAGGCTGGTCTGAAGGGGTTTCATGGAGGAGGAGGGCCATGGGGTGCTCCTTCCTGTTGTGACTTCCCATCCCAGCCACAGCCTCACACTCTGGGGCAGGGTCCCCAAACTCCTCTTTGACCTACCACCCAGGGGTGCCATGGTGGGTCCCCCCACCTGCCATAGCCTGTATGGCCTCATCCCTGGCCCTGCCCCAGACCCCTCCCTTCCTACCAGTCCCCTGACCTTCCCTTCTCTTCCAGGCGCCTCCCCTGTATGCATCTCTTCCACCAACTGTGTGTGGACCAGTGGCTCGCCATGAGCAAGAAATGTCCCATCTGCCGAGTGGACATTGAGACACAACTGGGAGCCGACAGCTGAGGGAGGAATTAGCCAGTGGACGCCCCATCTTCCTTCACCAGGTCCCCCCACGGCCATAGCCCTTGCAGCCAAACTTTGCCTTCTGAGCCATTTGATGTAGAGGAAAAGCCTGCAAGCACATTTTGTGGAAAGAGGAGTTGGCGGTATCAGCGTCTGAGGGAAAGGAGGGGTGGGGGAGGCCCCCCCACTAGCCAGAATGGTGACTGCCCCATCCACCTCGCTGTGCGGGAGGGAGCGGGAGGGAGCTGGCCGTGCCCGGAGCAGGGGTGGGAAGGGGGGCCCACGCTGCTGAGAATCTGGATGTGACCTGGAAGGCCCTAGCTGATAGACAGGCCCCTCAATCCTGTCCTTTGAAGGATTGTATATATACCTCTCGACCACGTAGAAACCATGTAGGGGTCTCTAGCTATTTCTGTGGATGGCAGCCGGAGCATGTTAGCTTAAGAAAAATGTTGTGTGTGGTGCTCTAGTCATCTTGTGGTGGACATGTCGCTATTACGAATTCGCACCAAATATTTCTCATTGAGTTCCTTGTTTTGGTGCCTGACTGAACCAGCCAACGACAGCCCAAATCTTCCCGTCTTTACGAGAAACAAGGAAAAAGGAATCCAAGGTGAAAAAAAAAAAAAAAAAGCCAAATCCTGTTTCTGGTGAAAAAAGGATGATTTTTTTTTTCACCCAGGTTGGGAGGTTGGGGGGGGGTAGTTCTTGTTTTGTTTTTGGTTTTGTTTTTTCCTTTGCTTTTGTTTTTCTCATGTTTACAGCGCGTGGAGTGTGGAAGGGGGAGCATCTGGGGAAGGGGAGGACCGGGAAAGGAGCAGATGGGGGGTAGGCTTAGATGGGCCCCTGAGGGGGTTCAGCCAGGGTGAGGAAAGCCGAGTTTGAGTAGGAGCAGGGGAGAGTCTGTCTCGAAGGAGGGCTCCCCAGTTCTGGGACCCATCTCCCTAGTTCCAGCCATGTCCCCCGGTTTCACATGGGATTCGGAAGAGGCCAGCCTTCAGCTCGAGTTGCTCACCCATTTTCCTCAGAGCCAGGGTGTCCCTGCTCATGCCACCTCTTCCTTTCACCTGTGCGTATGCCCCATCACAAAGAGGCAATTTGGTCACTGCCTCCCTATGCAAAAAATTAACTGGATGATGAAGATATGATAGCATAAGTGGTAGACACTCGGTCCCGGCTAAAGTGCTCTTGGCTAGCACTCAGGGGGTGAGGTCAAACACCATGGACCTGAAGGAGGGCCCGCAGCTCCCTTTGGGATGTCTCCAATCCTGATGGAGTCCCCCAAAGATGGCCCCGTGTCCTGAGACCGTATTGGCTGGGTTTGGGAAGGCCCTGTGTCCCTAGTCTCTGGCTTTTTCTCTGACTTTTTGATAACCTTGGGCAAGTCCCTTTTTCCTCTCTATGCCTCATTTTCCTTCTCCTTAGAGGGGAGACCAACGACAGTACACCCCCATTCCCCCTTCTTCTACCTCACCCACATGTTGTGAGGATTGACACTATCCACCCAACAAATTCATGCTCCCTCCTGGGAACCACCTTTGGGGTTTAGGGATGGGGGTGGTGGGAAAGAGGGACCTGGGAGTTCCAAGTGACAGCACACAATGTATCTTTCCGCACCACCCCCACAATTTTTGTGAACCTCAAAGGGAGCAGGGAGACGGGAGGACAGAAGAATGGAGATGGGAAAAATCCATGAAATTCCAACCCCAACCCCGTAGTCCTCACCCACAGGTGGAACACTCCAGCCCACTGGAATTCCACTCCTTTCCTTTGCCCCTCCCTGCTCCCTTATTTGCACTGCCCTCAAAGCCTCCCTTTGCCCACCCCTCCCACCCCCACTCCAGTCTCAATGCCCTCACATCAGTAAGAGAAGACTAAGGAGGACAAGATATTCCACCCATACATGAGGAAATCCTGTAAGGTCAAGGAAATCTGAGTCTGCATTGCAGCTACAAAGGGTACATCCAGCATCAATGGGTAAAAATGCCCTAGAAGTAGATTTTGGATTGAGGTAGAACCTTCTAGCACAACCAGAGCTGTCAGGTGGAGGCATGGCTCTTCTGGACACCTGCAGGCACAGAATGGGGGATGTGGCTGGCTTCTGGTGGGAGGGTTACTAGAGGATCTGACGCAGCCTGAGGCCTCTCCCAGCACCAATACTCTGGTGTTCTAGAAAATCTTTCCTGAGTGCCTGTTTAGTGCTGGGAGAGAGGACAATACCCTGCCTTGAGGAGCTTAGGCTTTTTAGCCGAGGAGCCAAGACGCATAAAATAGCACAAAAATGATGACTAGCTGACACAGGGTTAACAGCAATGTGCGTTACCCAGTCCAGTTCGGTGGTTCCAGCTTGCGGACTGTGTCTCGAGGGCTAAAGGCCGGAGACCCCACGGGTATAGAAAGTGCTTCCGAGTCAGGATTTTGGGGAGAGCTATTGACTAGCAGCCACGGGAAGTTGGAAATTGTCCCCAGCCTGCTGTACCCTGGAGGCAGCCAGGGTGGCTTGGGAAGGTCGCTCCCATCTGGGACTGGGGCTCTCGTGCTCTCTGAGGCTGGTTCAGAAGGCTCGCGGGGAGAGGGAGTCTGCGCCGAGCCAGGTGGTGCGTGAGCTGGGGTCCGGGGTCCAATGACAAAGCATGCCCCACTGCTGGGCCTCAGTTTCCCCAGCTGTGATGCAAGGCGGTTGGACTAGATGCTTGCCAAGTCTCCTTCCAGCACCCGATCCTCTGATCCTCCCTGACATCGATGCATCTTTCCAGCGGTAGGGCTGCCTGCTGAGAGCCGGGAAACTACTCTGGGGGTGACACTGGCCGGAGGCTGAGTGTGGGCTGCAGCCCCTGCCCCCCGCCTCGCTCTGGGCAGGCTCTGGGGGCCTAGGCTAACCCGAGGCGCTGACTGGGCCGGGGATCGCTGACTTTGGGGGTGCATCCTAAAGCCCCCTCCCCTCCCCACCTCTCTGGGGGCCCTCGTACCCTGCAGGTGGGTGCAGGAGGGGACGTGGACTCAGGCTACCGCCAGCTCCAGGCCCCCAGCCGGACAGCTCTCTGGGTGAGAACACGGGAGAGGGGTCTGTGCTTCTGCTCCCCTGAAGCCCCCCTCTCCCTCATCGGGGAGCCTGGGAAGAAGAAGAAGAAGAGGCAGGCTCAGGCCTCAGCAGCTTGTACCCACCACCTCCGGGAGGAGAGACCCCCCCCCCCAAACCCCGGGAGTGCTCCTACTGCTCAACTCAAGGGACTCAGACCCTTTCTTGACTGAGACGCATGAGTGCCTTCTGGGGCGAGAGCCACCCCAGGATTCAAGTTGGGCCTGCCCAGCCCTGGCCACAGCGGGTCGCCAAGGACGCCAACCCATGAAACCAACGCCACAGGCCACAGGCGGCCTGCCCGGGCAGGGGTGTGGGTGGGGGGCTCCTCCTCTAGCCGGGACCCCCCCCACCCGGCGCCCCCTGGGCCCTCTGGCCCTGGCCAAGAACCATGGCAGGACTCAAGCTCCTCTTCTGCAAATGTCCCCAGCCTCCCTGCAAGTATTCTCAACTCTTTACGCCTAATGAACAAGCACAGTTTTTTCAATGGTGAAAAAAAAAAAGCACCAGATCTTTCTTTCTCTCATTTTTTCTTTTCCTGAAGAAATCCCTCAAACACTCCCCCCACCCCCCCACCCGCCTGCTGGCGGGACAAACACTCCCCGCGTGGGGCTGTAGCAACGTCTGTCAGGTCCCCCTGTCGTGTTTCATCTCCTGCGCGTAGAGCAAATGCTAGAGCGATTTCAGCTGATAGAAAAACAAAAATGAAAAAAAAAACACAAAAAACAAAAAACATGGCACGTTGCTAGTTTACAGGGTTTTGTGAGTTTAAATGCCTTATATTTAACAATCATAATTTATGACTAACTTGTAGATATCGTGGGTTCTTATTTAATTATTTTTATAGTTGTTTTGCATTTTTAATTATAATTTATTTATTTAGAAAGGATACTAATTTTTTTTATTACTCCTATTACCTCATTTTGGCGTTGTTTCTGGGAGTGGAATGCTTTGCATGCATTGGTACGATGACAAACCAACTATGAATACAAAAAAAAATTTAAATAAAATTCCGCGAACTTTATTTCGTCCAAACTATCAGGGTGTGTGATTGCAAGCTGTCCTACTGTGGTGCTGGCCTCTTTGGATACATTCCATACGAAATGCAAACCTTTGATTCTGTATGCTGTGACCTAGTGAAAAAAACTCCAATATAGTGACTGTATTTAGCACATATATAAATATAATTTGCACTTGTCAGCAGACTGGGCTAATCCTTTCACTTGCTACCCTGGCCCCCTCCCCAACCCCCCCATCATTCACCTGTTTTTCTTTCTTCCCTTACCCTTGCTGCGACCTCAACCCATGCTGTCTCCATTCTCCTAGCAAAGTCGGGCGGTGGAGTGAGGGGGGGACACTGGGGATCACTCTTTCCACCTGGGCTCAAATCTCTCTGATTCCAGAACTAGGCCCCTCAGACATTACCAGCAGGAGCATCTGAAAGCCAAAAAGCCTGATTTATTAGGAAAAGCCCTGGACTGGGGGATCAGGAGGCTCAGGTTCTCAGCCCAGCCCTATTGCAAAGGTCCCTTTGACCTTGAACAAGTCACTTGACCTCCCTGAGTCTCAGCCTTCTGAGCAGGGCTGAGGGGGTAGAAGGGGAGCATGTCTAGGGTCTCTCAGATCCAGAAAGACTGACACAGAAGGGGGGGGCACCACGCTGCACTGTCTCCCCTCTCAGGACAGAAGTCAGGGGAGGAGAAAGGATGGAGGGGTGGAGAGAAGGAGAGCATCTTGCGGGACACAGGGAGGCAGGTTAGGCTGACACAGCCCAGACGCGGGACCTCTGCCCTCACAGGCTTGGTGGGCCTCTGCAGAGCAAGTTGAAATCCATGTGTTGTTAGCTGTGGGGTTGGGGCAGACAGGATATCAGCCCCACAGTGTGGTGTTTGGGATTGGCACTCCATCCTGTCCTCTCTTGGAACCTTTGGTGTTGAGCAG